CCCCAAAACCCCAAAACCCCAAAACCCCAAAACCCCAAAACCCCAAAACCCCAAAACCCCATTACCAATAATTATTTTTGAAATAGGAAATAAGAATGCTCTTATCCTTACAAATCATCTTTTATTTCTTTGTATTTTCCTTCTTTATAAATTTTTCCACTCTTCAGCAACACTATTCTGTCGCAGTTCTCGATGGTTGTCAGTCTGTGAGCGATGATGATAGAAGTACGTCCTTCCATCACCTTCTCAAGAGCTTCCTGAACTTTGGCTTGCGACACTTCGTCCAGAGCACTTGTGGCTTCGTCTAAAAGCAGAACACTTGGAGAGCGAATGACAGCTCTGGCAATAGCGACACGCTGCTTTTGACCACCTGAAAGCTTGCCACCATTGGTTCCGCATGAAGTTGCAATTCCAACTCTAAGATCTTTGATGTCAACATTATCTTCGTCGACTTCTTCATTTTCTTCAATAGCAACGTTGTTGTCTCCTCTGGCATCAGTAAGCTTGGATATGAATCCCTTGGCATTCGAAATTCCACAAGCCTCAATTGCCTTGGGTACATCTTGAGCCTCTTCTCCATAACAAATGTTGAACAACACTGAGTCGTTGAACAGAGTAGGCATCTGTTGCACAAGCCCCATTTGCTTTCTAAGTGACTTCAAGTTGTAGTGCTTGATGTCGACTCCGTTGATTAAGATCTGACCGAAATGTGGCTCGTAGAACCTCAGGATGAGTTGGACGATGGTGCTCTTGCCACTTCCAGACTCACCAACAAGTCCAATTTTCTCATTTGGTTTAATGATTAAACTGAAATTTTTGAGAACCCACGTGTCTGGTCTGGTTGGGTATCTAAACCAAACATTTCTGAACTCGATTTCGCCATTAAAAGTTTTATCATCAGCAACAACCAAATCAGGATGCTTCTCATCGGCTTCAATTTCAGAAGGCTCATCAATGATTGAGAATATTCTGATTGCTGACTTGAAAGCTTTACCTTGTGATGGTCCGAATTGCTGGGCTTGGCCTGCTCCCCAAGCTGCAAAAATTAAAACAAAGATCGCTAAGAAACAATTTTCTTGATCTGCTCCATCGTATCTAATATAGACAGCTCCGAGGAAAAATAATAGACCCATCACAACATTCTGGACAAAATTCGACCATCCAAATACGAACCCAGCGAGGTGAGATTTGATTGCTCCTTTTCTAAGAGGTTCTTTCAAGTTTTCTCTTAGAATATCAGTGAGCAGGTACTCATGACCAAACGAAGCAACTGTTTTGTAGTTAGAAATAGCATCAGAAATTAACAGATTTGCCTTTTTGAGTGCACCTTCTTGAGATTCTGTGAACCCAGTCTGAAGTTGGACTTGAATAACAGCAGAACAAATGAAGAATGGGATTACACAGATTGCACTCAGAGCAGTTCTCCATTCAAATATAAGAGCCATGATTAATCCACCAACAAGTCCAATCCAAGTTTCAATGACTGTTGAGAGTCCTTCTGTCGAAGCTCCATTCAAAGCATAGACATCAGAAGTAAGAGTTGAGGTCAGGACACCAATGTTATTCTCTGGGAGATCGAACCATCCAGCATGTTTGGACATTATAGCCTTATAAAGATCTCTCCTGATTCCTTTAGTCATGTTCTCAGAAAGAATTCCAAATGAAAGTTTCTGGAAATAAGTAGCAACGAAGGAGACTAAGCAGTTACAGGCCATCCCAAAGCAGTACCATGCTATAGTACTGAGATCATTTTCAAACATTGAGAAGAGTACTTTAACATAAAAGACAGCAAACACTGGCATGGTCATTCCTTGGACTCCAGAACTAATGAGCCCAACAATGATCAGCCAATAAGGTTTGTTGTACTGGATAAGCCTCTTGAAGTATCCTTTCTTCTTGATCTGCTTGATAAGCTCCTCTTTTTCCTTCTTAACATCTTCATCAAGCTTATCAGCTTGTTCCTTCTTTCCCAAAATTTCGTCATTAAAGGAAGTGCCTTTTCTGAGTAAAGGATTTTTAGCTAAAGAGCCATCAATCTGATCTGTTCTTAGAGAGTTATCGGCATCCTCTTCTTTAGCTTCACCTTGATCATCATCTAGTTCTTCTTGTTTGGCTACCAAAGTGGAGTAAACTCCTCCTCTGTATTTTTCCAACAGCTCTTTATGGTTTCCTTCTTCAACAACTTTTCCTTCCTTGAGGACGATGATCTTGTCAGAGTTCTTGATAGTTGATAACCTGTGGGCAATCACAATGGTAGTGATGTTCATGTCTCCGTTCTTCAGATTATCAATAGCCTCCTGCACTTCTTGCTCGTTCTTTCTATCCAAGGCAGATGTGGCTTCGTCCAAAATCAGGATTTTAGGGTCTTTAATGAAGGCTCGAGCCAAGGCGATCCTCTGTTTCTCTCCTCCAGAGAGCTGTCCTCCTTGAGCACCCACTATAGTATCAAGGCCATCTGGAAGACGCTGGATGATCTTGGAAGCATTGGCTTTGCGTAGAGCTTCCAGCATGTCTTGTTCAGATGCTTCGGGGTTACCATAGTACAAGTTCTCACGAATTGTCTGGTTGAATAACACAGGCTCTTGACCAACGTATCCAACTTTAGATCTAAAGTCTCTGAGGTTGATGTTTCTGAGATCATCACCATCGATTATCACAGAGCCTTCGCCTGGATCGTAGAAACGTTCCATGAGTTGCACAATCGTAGACTTTCCAGACCCTGAAGGACCAACAAGAGCAGTGACTTTTCCTTGTTCGAAGTTGATGTTGACTCCATCGAGGGCATTGATCTTACGTCTATGATGAGTTAGATGATTGGTGAAGGGAAGACTTACGTTTTGTATTTAAACTTTACATTTTCAAATCTAATTTCTCCTCTAAGGTCATTTAAATGCTTAGCTGACTTATCATCAATAATTATCTGGGGTGTTCTCTCAATAGTTTGGAGAGCAGCATGAGCAGCTTGTCTCCCTTTTGTTACAGATTTAAAGTTTGGCCCAGCTAAACTTAACGAGAAAGCTGCAAACATCATTCCAAAGAAGACAGCAATAATATCTCCAGGAGTGTAATCTCTATCTCTAATATCATTTGTGACTCCTTCAGTAACAAATAAAGCTCCAAAGAATAGGGCAAATGCAAATATAAGCATGAAGATTCCATTGTTCATTCCATATGCGAGGGACGTAATAAAATGATACTTAATACCACTTTTTCTTGCCTCTTCCAAAGGTTCACAGAACCTCTCATCCTCTTTGCTCTCTTGGCCATATGCCTGTACTATCTTGATCGAGTTCAGTGCTTGTTCTGCAAGTGTGCTTGACTTCTTGAAAGCTTTTTCTTGTTTCTAAAATATTGTTACCACTAACTTTACCTTAAATCCCATTTGAAGTACAACCATCATGAAAGACATGACAAGGAACAGGAGGGGGAATAATGCAAGCGTAACAAGAGCAAACTTCCACCCAAGAGTAAATGAGATGACTGCTCCTGCAATCAGCATTGTAAACGCAAAGAAGATATTGGCTGCCTTCTCTCCTGTGGCCACTTGGATCGCTGAAGCTTCTTTACTAATCTTTGATGCCAATGACTGAGGGTCATTATCTTCAAACCATGAGATATCTTGTCTGAGCACGGATTCAACATATTTGACCCTGAATATCATTCCTGTGTACTCTGAGACCATTCCGAAGAAGGCAAGATACAGGTAGCTCACAAACCATAAGCCAATTCCAATGTAGATGAGGTAATAGAGTATCTTTAATCAATTATCTATAACAAATTTTAAGTAATCATCATCTTGAAGGATATGTGTTAAATCAAAAGAAATAATGAAAAGATTCTTTACAAAAGTTGAAGCTTAAGTTATTCTTCTTATAACACAAAGTGATAAAACTTTACTATTGTATTGCGCAACTTCATATAGAAGTCAAACCTAGTTAACCTTGACCTAAAGAAACAATCTATGTCAATAATAAATTTAGCTATTGTCGATTAAGATAAAAAGAGTGACGTAACTCAAGATCTTAGGACGCAACATCAGTTATTCCTTGTAATGATACAATCTGATAAAAATAAGTCCTTAGTCAGAATTTTAGGATAAATCTGATTCTTCACATCAGAAAATAACTGAAATTATGGATATTAAGGCTCAGAAATTCCACATTTAAGCATTGGAATTAACTTCTTCAGAAATCATAATCTGTTGGTCAGAATCAATGGAAATTATCTTAGGAACCCTTATCGGTCAGAATAACTCTCCTAAGCATAAAGAAGCCAGATTTAGCCCATTTATGTATCCAGATTACCCTAGTTTCTTTCTAAAATTGACAATTTCCATTTCTTCTGGAAACATTCAATTTTTAAATCCAGGCTAATTCAAATTCAAAAAGAATAAGAAATTCAGATTTTGAATGATATCCTCAGATGCTGTCACTCAAGGAATTTTGAGTAAACAAAGAAGCATGAAGCTATAAAAACGCTATAGATACACAGTTAGGCTGGCTCAACACTTGTTAAAGTGAAGAGAATCTATTCCAAGCCCAATTTTTTAGCATTTGAGACTGGTTACAATCTTACCATAAGTAGTCTCAACCGAAGTGTCTGGATCAAATGAATTGTACAGCTCTTCAATGAATATAACAAATAGAGGCATAGCAAACCCTGCTAAGATAGCAGAGATAATGCCTAGCACCAAGTAGACTTTGATCTTGCATGTGCTGAACCTGAACATAGAAAAGAATCCCACCATGGGAGTATCCTTATCATAATTAAGTCCATCATCGTCTTCTCCGAAGTCCATTTTTAAAAATTATTTATGATAACAAAAGGTGACTTATATATTGATTGATGAACGATCCTGTCGGGAAATCTTCAATCTTGTTGCGCAACAAGGGGTTTTGGGGTTTTGGGGTTTTGGGGAG